TCGCCACTAAGTGCCGAGAATCATTGGGATAATTACAAAGCAATACACATTCAGACACTCTCTGGATCACTCACAGTGGGAATTCGTCAGCTCAGGGAGAAATTGATAGCTATTTAGCCACTGGATAGTCATCTGTTTTAATGCATTAATTTTGTATTAAGAGCACTGACAAATTTAATAGTAGAAATAGGGGTTGGATCAAAAGGGGGTCTTGCATGTGTGTGTGGCTGTACACGCACCACATGCACATTTGTGTATGGCTTTAGGCCAGAAAAAAAATACTCAAATGCATACGTGAATGCTTGGCCAGTGCATGTCAAGCTTGCAGTCCAGTTTCACATACATAACGTGTAATGAACCACAGTACTCAAGCGAACAATAGTGTTACCTTAAAGAGTCCATGCTATTTAACCGGATATGTTGCTATTCAGGTAGCTTGTGACGATTATGCGACATGGTGACAGTTTAACTTCAAATAAATTGCATGCATTCAAATTGAAAAAGAGAACTGATGATGTTCACTTTTGTCATCAGTGACAATATGTAAAACAATTGTATCATGATGATTATTAAAAAAAACTGATAAATGTGATGAGATGAAGTAAGAAAAAATATAAAAATATAAAAGTAGAATCAAATATTCCAATCTTAGTGAACAATGTCAGAAATCGCTAGTATTAATTTTTATGGAAAATGAATATTTAGTGTTTATCTGAAATTTCTTCTCAATTAAATTTTTGTTTTTGTTGACTAAAATTAGATATCATTTTAGTCCAACAGTAGGTCTGACAAAAAATGATTAAATGTAGCATGATGAAATATTGACAACATTCAAAAGATAAAAACGACTAAAACAAATTTGTGTGTAAAAAAATAGCACTCAAAAGACATTTTTAGCAGCTCATGCAGTAACATTGAGAATCCAACACGGACCTGCGTATGAATAGCTTGCATAGCTAGAAACGTTTGTGTACTTGTGTAGAGTATGTTGTGGAACTTAGAGCCGCTTTACCACGATTCCTCTGTGGGCCTGGGCATTTGTGGAGGTATGCTGAGTGCCTGCCCTGTATTAGGCTCTCTGGCAGTTAAAGTGGCGATAGGTGTGAAAGGTGTGTGTTTTTTCAGCCCACATAAGTGGATGCTTCTGTAGATCCATGCACAGGAGCAGGTAGGTGTTGAAAGTGATAGCTCTGCGTGATGGGAGCGAAGCAGGCAGAGACGCAGTGTTGAGTTGCGGTGGGGTGGAAAAGGTGGGTCACCCTTGCTTTTACTCACCTACACGAATACAGGGGACTGATTCATCGTCCACTCGGGTCGTTATGTGCATGTGCAGAGAGAGTAATCAAAACTCCTGTCCGGTAAAGATGGGACGCACTTGCTGTGCACACGTGCACACTCTCGCTCTTTTTTACACACACACACACACACACTTTCTCCCTCCAACCCACTCAGGTTTCACTCAACTGCACTTCCCCACAGCTCATGTGCTCTCCTGTAAGTCTGCCATTAACTTCCAGCCAATTAAATGAATTTTGAGTAGTAATGTAAGCCATGCTGACTCTGTGGCCTTCTCTGGCTCCGGGGGCCTGTATGCGGCTGTTCTGGGGCCCCTGTGGAGGGGAGACTTCTCAGCACCCTGACCGGCCCCTCCCTGCTCGGTGAACATGACTTTTTCATTAAGCCGCTGAATTCCTGCACTTCAGTTGGAGGTGATTTATCAGCATGGAGCTTCATCTCAGGATCATAGGAAACAGACACGCCACACACCGACGCTCTCTCATGCGTTATTGTGTTTCACGTTCAGACCCAGGGGTGTGTGTGTGTGTGTGCTGGGTGGGAGATTAGGTGTAGAGAGCATCTCAGGGGTCCCTCCTGTGGATGTTTCAGATGGAATCATGTGGAAATATCTGTGTGTTTGAAAGAAAAAACGTAGGTCCTTGGACGGGTCTGTTTGGCCCTCTGGTGTCAGACCTGGAGAGCAATATATGTATCTCTGCTACATGGAAATTATGAATATAAATGACTATTATCTCTTATGGTGTGTTGGAGAGCCTTGAGCCTTCTAATATCCCTTACATAAAGTATTATTGCAATGCCATGTTGGTAAAACCATGTTATTCTTTGAATCACCTTGAAGCACCATGGTGGTTTGGAGTAAATATAGTAATTGTACCAAAACTGTAATGGTGTAGCATATGGCTAACATATTTAGCATCAAGTGTATGTTAGACTGGCTTCAGTTTGGGTAAAGAAGTAATGTGTTGCTCTTCTCTGGGCTGAGCCAGCTAAGGTTCACCCGTGTAAATCCTGCCCTGTTTATGGGCGCTGTAAAACTCCCCACGTTTTTTTCTTTTTAAGATCTTTGAAGCTTAGTTCAGGTGTTGTCTTTTTCGCTGCACTTATTTTCACAAAGACGGCTGAAGTAAAGACATATTTCATGAAGAAAGAAGAAACTGTGCCATCTCGTAGCACACAATGGATTGATTTGGTGTTTTAGGCCAGCAAATCTGTGACAGATCAGTGTACCTGAGCTCTGATACGCTGCATATGTGTTAGGGAGGGTGAGGTGGAGAGGTGCAGCTCAAGCAAAGCCCAAAACATCCAGCAGCACCTACTCAATGACATCATACCCCTACTTCAAACAGGAACGTGAGAGAAGGAGAGCAAGGGAGAGCGTGAGGGGAAAGACAGAGCCTTTTACGATCACCTAATAACTCCATTACATGGAGCTGAGGGGCACAACAAGCAAAAACCCATTCCTGGAAGTCAGTGGCCCTAATGGACATCTTAGGTATACCAGGGTGACATATGATATCAGCGCCACAATTGCCTTAAAAAAAAAGCCTTATAGCAATGTTACCCGAAAATTAAATATTACCAGAGAAGGAGAACATTTCAGGGAACATAATATTTTGTTCCTCTCTCACTGTTGTCAACACCTGATGTGGCCTTAATTGGGTTAAAAATCTAATGTTACTCTGGCTTTGTGCATCCGGAAGCCGATGGAAACACATCTCATCTCTGCGCTGCAGGGCAAAGCCAACTCAGCCACGTCTTAGTGAATCAATTTGTTTTCCCCGACCTTTGTCAGGGTTTGGGGGTGGTCGGTGCAGGAGATTAAGAGCTTCTCCAGAAGAGAGAAAATACATGTTTCGCCAGGCAAAAAAGCAGAGAGATATTTTTACAGTTTTGCATCATCTCCTTCATGGTGCAATTTAGTTGCTTTTTCATGACTCACGTAACAAAAGAAAGATAAACAATGAATACAAGGTAAAGAGACCTAGGAAAGATACTGCTATTTAATCACATTATCATAGTTGGCCTTTTATGTATAGTCTTACAGTGGAGAGAGGAAAGGAAATGATGAGCAGAAGTGATTGGTTAGGAGACATTTTTTTAAAACTCACATTGCCCCTTAAAGGCAGAGTAAGTGATTTCTGGTAGCCAATGTTGATATTTGAAATCACCAAAACAAACACGCCCCTAAATTTCAAATGGTTTTCAACGGTCGTTTGACCTCTTTCTCGCGTCCAGTGTAGGCAGACTTTAGTTGTTGTAGACACGGTGTTACTCACCTATTGAGAAGAAACAAAGCAACCTTGGCGTCCGATCGTAGGCCTCCGCTCCTTGAGTTCTCTCCCGCGCTGGAAAGCTGATCCGATATTTACACGGGTCCTACTTCTTGCCTTATCGTTCCGCAGACGTTTTCCTCTTTTGTTTTTTATCCGCCATCTCTATCTTTCTGTCGCTCGGCTCGGCTAATGTCCGTCCCATGCACTGAAAGCTCTCTCCTCCACATCACGAGTAGACACGCCCCTTATTGCTGATTGGCTACAAGTTTGTTTTGCTATTCGGCCCGAATCAGTTTTCTAAAGTGTTTTTGAAAAATCACATACCCTGCCTTTAAAGCACCACAGCACAAATGCGATGAAGCACTTGTGCTAACTGCTGGCCATAGCTCCAACCATCTTCTGTGTTTTGATCATTAAAGTTACCAATGGCCTTCATGCACCTTTGTCATATAATTTCAAAGATGTATCGTGCCATTCTTGAACACAGAACAAGGAAAGGAGTGTGGACAGTAAGTGTGTGTATTGTCTGACATATATAAATTGCTATAAATCTCTCACTCCACATAAACAAACATAATTCACCAAAGAGATGATGGCCATGAAGAATGAATAAGGGGAAAATTGCCATTGATTAACACTGGCAGTATTCACAAAAGTTGTTTTTATGAAGCTTAAAACAATCATGACTTGAAAGAAGACATAAATCAAGGTTAGTAAAGATGTATTGGTAAGTGCTTTCAACATACGTGTACAGGTGATAACTAGGGACTAGCAGTCAGATCTATAGACCTGCAATGCCTGTATTGTGTTGGTCTTGTCTCATTGATTAGATGTGGTGTGCTCAATGAACAGAGACTGAGCTTGGGATTGTTGTGTTACCGTTGGGTGTGCGGTGTGGTTGGCTTGTTTTGGGTTTGTGGATTGTAGCCCATATCTCTGGTCCCCCCAAGGATCCCTATACCCTCTTCTGGGTATGGTCGTCAGAGCGCCCCACTACCGCCCCGTCTCGCTCACTTTGCCTCGCTCTCAAAGAAGCAGGATTTGACTCACTGGTGATCAATATTTATCATCCCATGCGTGAAACAGGCAGATGTTTGGAGATTCCTTTTCAGAGACGAAAGAGTTCTCTTGAGTGAAAGGGATCAATGCACTTTCCTCTGTGTGTCCCTGCTCAAGCTCTTCCTGTAGATGCTGACATGCTCCTCTCATCTACCTCACCAACCCCAGGGATGCCAATGTCCCTCCTCTGTCTTGTTAGCACTACGCTTATGCTAAGGTCCAGAGACCAGCGTACTGCTGATGAATGACGTTGACTTTGTGTTAGACAACAGAGTCTTGATTGGTAATTGATTTATTCATTTGTAAATGGCATTAGGTATCCGTTCATTTAAAACCCCATGCTAACTCTCGTTCATTCTTTCACTACAGCATTTGCAGCAGCACGAGAACGCTGTGGAGGGCGAGTCGTGCTACTACCACTGTGTTCTGTGTAACTACTCCACCAAGGCCAAGTTGAACCTCATCCAACACGTCCGTTCCATGAAGCACCAGCGCAGCGAAAGCCTGCGGAAGCTGCAGCGCCTACAGAAGGGCCTGTCCGAGGAAGAGGAGGAGTTGAGTGCCATCTTCACCATTCGTAAATGTCCGTCTGCCGACACAGGTAAGAAGCAAAGAATACAAGTTTGTATACTCATCTGATCTTCATGGGGATGGTTCCTTCTTTAGTAGTTGTGGCGTTCCCCTCTTTTGAAACTGAGAGTGGAAAATTCCCACTCCATTCATAATTCAGACTTGATAATTGATAGACATTGCATTGTAAATGGGCTACAATGTTCATTATAGTACCATTTCAGATCCGGTTACCAATAGAGTAGATTCTTATGATGGCACCATAGTCACCTGGTTCTTCAGACCTGGTCATGCGGCATCAGGTGCATGGGAGTTAGTGAAATGTTTCTAAGTGAAAGAGGACAGCACATCTTAGGCCCCTGGGCCATGCCTATGACATCACTGCCGTGGCTCCATGCTCCATTGATGACTGATAAGGCGAGAGGATCTCCTAAGGACAATGGCGATCTGGCACAGCACGTTCATTAATACGACTACAGACAAACAATCATAGATGCCATTAAGCTCCGAACGGCAAGGGGAGGGGGCGCCAAAAACAAAAGGCTGGGGCCGAGGCCTTACTCAGGCCATACGTTAGTTAGCCATTAAAAATACAGAGCTACAGTCAATTAACACACTGTTTCAGCATGGATTTGGTTTTCTAATCATTTTGACTCTTGTGCCCTGACAAAAGACTTCCATTGTGCGTTGCTCCCCTCCCTCCCGTGAGCCAGGCGGCCCGACCGGCTCTTAGTGTTGTGTTGTTTGTGGGGGGGGGAGAGAGAGAGAGAGCGAAAGACGACGGGGGGAGTTGGCCTTTAAAAAAAGACGCTTTATTCCGAGGAGGCAGGGATAATGAAGCCAGCGGCCGGGAAATTGCGCAAAAGGCAGTCACAGATCTGAGGAGAATCATTAGAGAACATATTTAGCTGAGCAATTAAGGACAATTAAGCTTTCTGCTCGCTGCACTCCAAATATGTTAATGACTATAGTACAGTGGACAAGTGAACATGCAAAGGCAATAGGAAGGCCCACTTAGGTTAAAAGGGTGGGGGTGCGGGAGATTTAGAGTGTGTTTCTGGGTAGGTGGAGGTAAAGAGTTCACAAACAAGTCTGGTTTTCTCTCTCTTCCTCGTGCTCTCTCTCTTTTTTGGTTGATGTAGCATTTATTTATATATTTTCTTGGCTAACCTTTGATGTGCTTTAATGGATTCCCTTGTTTGTGAGGCTGGTTGGAGGTTAGGTAATGACTCCTGCAGTAGGGATGTGTGGGCAGAGCAGCATGCAGTCGCTACACGCACACACACACACACACACACACACACACACACACACATTTGCAAACTTCTGCCATCTTTTTTTTCTAGTTGCAGCAATCCAGTCGTACCCCCTTGACGTCAAATGAGCCAACAACTCACAAACAACACATTATGTCTGCCATGTGGCACAACTTTTCCAAACTCTTCCAGGATTAGTCAGATGAGATGTTCTTTGTAGTGAGAAATGGCTGCGTTCTTTGATGATGGCTGATTGCGTGGCAATGCAAGCTTTTTGATGTATTTAATTACTGGCTTTTTCTTGACTAGATATTATTGAATTTCTGTACCTTCAGGAGAGAATATGTAGGTGATTAAGGCTGAGGTCTAGCCCAGTGCTGACTGGGAAATACTGATGAAGGACAAGGTTAGTATAAATCGACCAGCAGCTCAAAAGGGAACCAGGCTGCCTCTTATTATCAGCTATTGTTTCCTACGCAGACAGAATGAGCGAGAGAGAGGGGTCCCAGCATCTCTGTCCTTTGATAGCTGATACCTGCTAACTGACGTCAGGATCAGGCCTGTGAGCGCTCTGTTAGGGAGGCTGGGTCTTCAGAGAGGAACCGCTGTCCTAATAGCCTTTGACGCTTTGTTTACCAAACGGAGCAGGCTGCAGTCGGAGTGTTGAACAGCTGATTGATTGCCCTACAGATGCAGGATCAAACTCAAGCTCCTGTCGGCCAAGCCGTGGCGCACTGCTCAGCTTGAAAACAAGTCCCATCCCTTTAAATGGTGGGGCCAAAGTTGGATATATAAATAGGTATATATATTTAAAGGTCAGTTAAATTAAATGAGGTGTGTAATAAAGAATGTCGGCCCTCTCCGTCTGCTCCAACTCCCTGCTTCGGCATCTTGTTCGAATTACGCTGATAATGAACATACTTCTTCATAAGCGAGTACGAAACATTGCTAATTCCTCACTGCCGTCCACTGCGCCTATGAACCCACCCTCCCCCAGACTACCTTTACACTTCTTAATGTCCTGCCCCCCTTACCCAACAGAAACCATTCCCTGATGGTGTAATATTTAATTTCCTCCCCGCTAGCTCTTCTGAGGCACTGGGCTCTTTCGTGTGGTTGAGGCACGATTGCTAAAGTGGCAGAAGGCTCCCCTGGTTGTTAAAACAAAGCTGGCCCTGGATTTCTGGGTCAGCTAGGTAGCAATTCCCTTGGCTGCTGCCTTGCGGTGTGCAGCTCTGTTGGGCTACTTCCCCAAGCAGAGCTTTCCTATACCCCAATTTTCTCACCCCAGAGTTTCCAAAGACCCTGAGAACCACAATGTGGATTGAGAAGTTTTTCGAAACCCTTAACTCTAAGTATTAAACTTCAGCATATAAGTCATCGTACACCATTTGTGCTATGGACATGAATTATACCTCAAATCATGTAGCTTGTTGAGGACAGTTGTGATTTAAAACAATTAAAACATGTAGTTTTCAATTGTTCTGGAGTTCAATGAGATTAAAACATAATATGCAGAATGTCACATGAACTGGGATATGCGACTGCAACCTACAACTCAAAATTTTTTGCCGAACACTTAGTGTGGAACTTTATGAATTAAGAGCCCCCAGTAATGCACATAAACCAACAGATACAGCACTTAAATAGTTCCCAAATTAAGGCTGCACAGCCACCCCTGAGGGAGGTCTTTCGCATCTCTCTGTAGAACTGTCACATTCCATTTTCTGGTCATTTGTTACCAATATCAATGAGGATCATTTAAAAAAAAGATCCATACCACTAATTCAGAGAAAGTGCGCCATAGCAGATGCTGTTGATGAAAACAATTGATTGTGGAAATATTGATTAGCGTTGTTTTCAGTTCTGATCCATATGGTGTTATGATATTGTTTTCTCTCAGAACTAACCAAGTTTAGGCTTGATTAAAATAGCCAATCACCCGTGAATACATGCCAGCTAAGCATTATTAGACCCATAACGAACACAATACAAGGCATTCATATATGACATTATATACACACATGTACAAATACATTAAATCTGTGTGGTGTGGTGTCTGGACGCGAGTGCAGTTGGTGTAGTCTGGGTTTCTGTGCCATATTTTTTTATTATTTTTATTTTTTGCCCTCTGATTTGCCCACAGAGTGCCAAGGCGGCAGAGTTTCCCATCCAATTAGAACAGTGTGTGGATAAAAGGCAGGCATTGTTTTAATTCCTGCCCCCGCGTTGAAAATGTGCTGCTCAAGCATGCCATTCTCTCACTGGATGTCCATTTGTCATTCTTAACCCTTTCACTTACCACAACACAAAGGAGCTCTCTGCAAGAAGGGTTTCCCAAAATTATAAAGCTCAGGCGCCCAAGACAACACGCACTAACACATGCTTACACAGACACAGTCAGGTTCCCGAGTATGTGTGTGTGTGTGTGTGTGTGTGTGTGTCTGAGCTTGATGTGTGGGAAGAGACACTACAGCAGCAGATGACAGGTTTTATGAGTGATGTTCACCAGGGCATATAGCTGGGTGACACATTGGGGTCTCTCATTTCAGAAGACTTAATGGACTGAAGTTTTTTTGAACATTGCAGACTGACAGATACAGGAGAGAGAGAGAGTAAGAAAATAGGTAAGTGGAATTGGAAGATGGTTAGTTGGCTTTTTGATGGAGCTACAGGCCTTTGGGTGGCATTGCTTACAGCCAGCCTGGAAGATTTGTGTATGTTTGTAGGAGAGAGGAGAGAAAGCTGTTTTGGAGTGTGTACACATTGCAGTGGCACTGCGAATTAGCTGCTGATGTAAATAATTTTCAGTCGCAGATGGCAGTGCCATGATCGCTGAACTATGACGTGCTGCAGGAAATCCCTGTCTGTAGACATGGGAACAGCGGCCTGCTTGGCTTCTCATGCCAATTGTAGCCCTCCCCTCTCAGTGCCCAAGTGGGGGAGGGAAATGCACTAGAGACTCTGAACTAAACTTTGGCTGATCCAAGGGTCAATTATATCAATGTTGTTTTTGTTATTGTTATTGTTGTTGTTGTATCTAAATAATGAAATTTGTACTTACAATGACTTGAACACACCTCTTTTCTGATGAGCATGTTTTTAATTTTTTAATTAAAATTCATTTTGATCGCTTTTTGAAGGCATAAAGTCAAAATGTCAAGGTGAAAGAATTGTCCTGATATCAGAATGAAGAAAAAAAGCCTGTTATTATTATGATTAATTATTATTAATTATTATAATTTTCATATTTCAAAAATATAATATAATATTTATATATAAAATATATACATATAATTTCATGTATATAATTTTATATAATATGTATATAATATATAATATGTCAAATGTACATAATACGGTTTTTTTTCCTTTTCAAATTTTTGACACTCTTATATGTCACTGGCCCCTAAAGTAGGTTTGCATTTTTGTCTGTCTAGACCATGGGAAAGAGTATCCCAGTTTCTCCCTGTTCCACCAAGCATTGCATCTCTCTCCTTTCACTACAATTTGCCACAAGCCTCGTGAATAGTATCAGCTATTATGCAAAAATATATTGCATGCACAGATTGATGCATTATTAAATCAAACGCTGGATGTTTGCTGGGCTCTTTGCTTTACTTGCTAAAGCCCTTGGACAGCGGACATGATATGTCAAGTGAGAGGAGAGTCGAGCAGTGTTCAAAAGTCCTTACCTTTATTTTTACTGGTCTGGAATGGTACCCTAAGCTCAGAGAGGTGTGTGTGTGTGTGTGTGTACACATTTGTATGTATC